CATTTTCATTTATATAGTGCTTTGTGGACACAAATTAGTTAGCATAAACAGTGAAATGACGAAAAATTAGGTGTCTATTTACTTTTGACCACTCAGTGTATACATTGTTTACTAGTTCTGATAGGGCATATTATGAATACCTTCTTCACTCATCACTTGTGTAATCTTGACCACCAGAATAAGCATGATCGACAACAAAGGAAATGATCGTTTTTTTATAAAGTACGATTATATCTTAGTCTTTATAAGTATGGAATGAGAAATATTCACCAGAGTCGTATATTTATGTAGAGTTTTAACTCGATTCAAGAGCTAGCAATTTGTATAAAATGTTTATAAAAACTATTTTGATTAGAGGAGAAATTATAAAATAGTGACACTTCTGAAATAATTTAGTATGCACTTACTTTGCTTTAATTCATTTGTAACTTGGAATACTGCTTGCTCTTTTCTTTCAGCTTTGCATTTCTATAAAGTTAGTCAAGCAGAAATGTATCCATCGAGGTGACGTGGGTGTAATACCCCCATTGGAAAGCTCTTTAGCATCGCCCGCATCTGAGGTGTCAAGATTTAATTTTTAAATATTTTAAGTCTTCCTACATTGTGACTCTCATTGAGGTGAAAGTATTACTATTAGTTTTTTTGGATGGAAGGGGTAATCATACTATTCCACTTAAACCGAAAGAAGTATCTCCAATTAGATGAGACTTGGACGGTGGGTTTAATAGTAGTTTGAAATAACATCTGACCAATGCAAAGCTGTGCAAGGAGAGCCTGAGGTAATTCTTGATAATTAAAAAGAATATATAGACATTTCTTAAAGGCAATAAACCTATTTCTTTTGCAGTTAATAACACGTGACTCCATAACTCTTTGCCTTCCCCAAATAAAAAACTTAGAAACTCCACCATGCATTTCTTTTTTATACTAGATATCTCCACAAACCAACATTAACACCTTTTTTAATGAGGCAATGTGCGAGACGGATTTTGGCGATCGTATAGTCTCAAACAAAGCCATTATTGAAGATATTTTATGCATAACGATAATATTGTCTAAGATTTAAATTGCGAAATGTCCAAGTCTGTGAAGTGGAAAAACATACCTAGTGCAATTATTTTTAACAGAGTACTCCATATGAAGATGTTATGCTTGATGAGTATATTTTTGTTGCACAAGTTAAAAAAGACCGGAAATTCCTATGTCCAGCAAGAGGAAATACGCAAATGATTATTAAATATGCCAATAACTAAACTCCTTAAACCTGATTATTACCGAAGCTTCTCTGTTAGGTCCAAGAGTGCTCCAGCCCACCTTTGGCATAATTCATCTGGAGACTCCGATTGTAACATTTGCCCTCAACCATTGGTGGCATCTGGTAAAACAGGTCACCACATTTTCGCAAGTCGACCTCAAGTAATGAGCTGATTGCGTGGG